GTTGTTCACGAGAAACATTTTCGTATCTTCCTCGCTCAATTTGCAATTTATGATTACTTACTCTATATTTCTTATCGTTGGGTTATCAATAAGGGATAAATATTCTTCCATTTTGTACTCGTTTTTAAATGTACAAAAGAAAGATAGTTTGGAGGAGTTAATCATTTTATATTATGTTGCCAAAATTCAAAATATTTATCTTTCATCTTATTTACAATAGTTTTTGTATCGTAGTTGATTATTTCACTTTCCAAGTTTGTTGTATTATCATAAGCCCCGTTTACACTACACTCATTTTTGGCACGGCACTCTTAAATAATGGCACGCGGACCAAATTTTTAGGCACGGCACTCTTAATTTTCGAAGTGTAAACGCAAAATTAAGGGTCCGCGTGCCATAATTGTTTGACGGGCCGAGACCTCTTCAAGGAGGTAGTCTCGGCCCGCTTAAAATATAGCACGCGGCCCTAAAACTAATTACGCATGCGTATTCCTTGAAAAAGAAAACAAGATGGCGTCAAAAACAAACCCTACTTACACTTAATTGTGCTCTATATATCTGGTATGGAGTGCTGATGATTAGATAAAAGTCAGCTCTGAATTTATCCAATTAGCCTTTCTCACGATGACGAATATCCGATTCTCATTAACAAATGCAGACAATTAAAACAATGTGAAAAGCAATTTTTCAAAATAAACTAACCATTTACAAAGCAAAGTTACCATCTATCGTCCAAGAAATTATAAAAAGTCGCTGTTGTGTGGACTTATCTCGCGGACTTCGGCTGAAATGCCAGCCAAAAATGGCGGCGTGAGAAAGGCTAATTCAAGGCACCTCTATATCCCATATTCATGGACCACAAGTGAGGGTAACTAAATTATGTTACACCCAGATGTTTGAGTGCATAATCATTCGGAATATGTTATATTGTATGGTCATCAAACTTAGCTTTGAAATATACTGCATACACTACTTCCGTCCCTAAAACTGTACTTATGTCTAACTGGTGAAATATTGAACTAAAGAATCACGGTTAGCTCTGCGTCTGGTGCTCGCGTTTCATCAATTGGAAGTATTCAGCCTAGTCCCAGGCTCTCTCTCTCTATCCGCTGCTTTGATATATTTAAATAAGTCTTAAAAGTTTTATGCCTGGGTGTGCTGTGCGATACGCTTCAGCGAGAGAGCCTAGCAGATTTCGGTAAAATGGTCCCTGATTTCGAAAAAGTGGTCCCTGGCCTGGTTACCAAGCATACCGCATTTGTAAATAGGAAATGTTATGGAAATTTCCTTTGCGTTTATAATTAAGTCATTAGTTTTGCTCTAATGCTGTCGGAACAATGAAATAGGCTACGTTTCGTTACCATACGGTCAGAATGGAATAACGGGCTAAATATGACTCGTGTTTACTAAAATATAAAGCCATATTAAATGCTATCTAGAAGCTTGAAAATTATGCCAAGTCTCCGACCAAAAAATGTTTTGACAACACAGTCATGTCAGGCAAATATTTCCAATCTCCTCAGCTACTTAAACCTGTCAAGTAGGAAGCGTAGTTGTGTATACCAGTATGGTCTAGTGTTGATCACAACTTGCGAGTATATAAATAACATCAACGATTATACGACCATTGCTCAGACTCAGTATCGTAAATTTGTATATAATTTTTTTAATTGAGCACATTTTTAATACAGTTTGAATTT